CATTGTTGATTGCTTGTCTTTTTATAGGGGAGAGTTCAAATGTGATTAATGTTCTAAATTTAATCAAGAATTGACTCTTTTAGAAACAATTCTATTACCAATAGAATTTATCTAAAAAAAAGTCTTTTATTCAATTTTAATTTTGAAAACATAAATTGTTAGTTATTTCATTCCTCTTCCTAATTCCATCATTGATTATTACCAGCTCCTATCAATTTATCCTCGGCCCTTTGATTTTTTTTAATTATCTCTTTTTCTTTTTTTTTGAAATAATCAAATAAAAATGAGATGAATATAAAGAAATATTAATAAATATTGTTAAAGATAAATGAAAATGAAATTAAAGATAAACCATAGTAAAAATTTAAAATCAGATAAAGAAAAGATGAAAAACAATAAATAAGATAAACAAGATATATATATATATAAATAAAATAAAAGTAGAAATAAAAACATGAAAAAATGTAAAAAAATGGATAATTGAACTTGGAGTGGACTCAGACCCAACTGGTTTGGATTTCGGACAAAATAAGGTGTCTATAATAAATATCTCCAATCCACAATACTTTGTCCTAGCATTTTTGTCCCCAACATCATTGATTTTCACAATATTTAAACTACTTGCTCTTTTTACACTAGATCCCTCATGCTCTGCACCATCGATCAATGGAGATCGCAATTCTAAGGTTTGTTGCTTTTGACTCATCTTAGTTAGTCCTTTTTTTTTTCAACCAGTCTTCTAATAGTACAATAAACAAATGAATAGACAAAATCTTATGAAAATCTAGAGAAAATGATGAATTTACCAAGAATCTAATAAGAATATATCAGAAAATTGTCAAGAAAGACAAGAAAATCCTTTGCTTAAGATAAACCTACTAATGTGAGCTAAGATAGTTTCTAACCTGCACTCCAAAATTTTTTCCTTTTAAAAAGGATAAGATTCGAGATTTCAATTCTCTTTTCTTAAATTTTTTTAATATGTAAAAATTATAAATAAAAAAAAGTTGAGGGTAACAAAAGCAAAGTAATTTCCATTAGAAGTCTATGAGCAATGTACCTTTTTTGAAGTACAAGTTTTTCTTTCAAGGAAAATCATAGTCCTAAATAGGGCAATTGGGGTTTCCATTTGCTAAAAGATGAAATGTATACATTGATGAATTCTCTCATTTCAACTCTTACGGAATGTGATTTATATTTTATTCACTTTTGATCAACACTGTGTTCAATTATTACCTGTAATGCTTATGCTTATATTAAGCTTTTTTTAAAATTATTCGAGGCTAAATGCTCAATTTGGGATTAAATGTTTAGGTTGTTGCTCAATTTAAGACTAAACATTTTAATTTGTACAAATAAGGATAAAACATTATCAATTTGTTATAATATATGATTTTTTTTAATGAGAACTGTGATGTGAAAGACATACACCGTTATATAGCCTGAGAAGTCTAGTATGATGATGATGTGGCTTTTTTTTTTTATTTAGATGCAGTTAATATCTTCAAACCTCTTCATTTGAACTAAAATTTTTATCATATTTCTATTATTTGCACTAAAAATTCTAAATACACTTAAAAATCTTATAATATTCAAGCTTATGTCTGCAATTTTCAATATCAGAGTTCAGAATTCAACACAATTATCATAGAATCTAGCCTGTTTTTCAAATAGTAAAAAATCAATTGAGTAATGAAAATCTAAACCTAAAAAACATTAAGCCCCTATAGAAAACGAGCAACAAAGGAAGTGATAAGTACTGCATGGCTTTTAAGTGGGTGGTGTTGGCAAAACATATGTCTTGGGCATGTTATTTAGGTTGCTTATCTTTGCACTGCAAAATCAAGAGAACTAATTGTTGAAACTTGAAAATCCAAAAAACTAATTGCTTAAACCAAAAACCCATCTTTCTTTGCACTATAAAATCAAAAGACCTGCTTCTCTTTGTATTACAAAATCAAGAAACTCATAAACAAAATGAATATGAGATGAATTTTGTGGAGTTTAAAGACCTAAATAACTAATTGTAGGTCATTTTTAAGAAAATCATTGATAATTAAAAAAAAAAAACCAAAAAAACCAAACTAAAAAACCAAAAAACTCAAACCTAAAAGAGATCTGCTTTGAATCATCATTTGCATGTTTTTCTTTTTTTAAGATCCTATTTTCCTTTCACTATTCGAAGCTCTAAAAACACTACCTTCTTTGTTGTTGCAAAACATTGCCTTTTTTGTTGTTGTAGATAAAGAGTACAACTAGGAATCGGAGGCTTTCCTTTTTCGTTTTATTTGAATAAGAAGCATTTTTTTTTTGGATAGTTTTGATAGTGCAATTAGAGAAAATCCAAACAAAATGGAGATGAGCACTTCAATTAGAAAAATAACTCATTTTCACAACAAATCTTCTCATTTGGTTTGAGACTTTTTACCTTGATTCTGCCACCTCCGTAGCTCATTCCACCCACCCTCATCATTTTTTTTTGCTGGTACATTAGTGTTTTGATTGATTTTTTTTTTTTATTAATGGTAGCTGTCAGATGAGATCAAAAAAGTGATCTTTGAAGGTCAAGCGACCGATTTAAAAACTTAAATTAATAGTGAGATCAACATAGCTTTTCCACCTGTCATTACAAGTGGGCAACTTAATTCCACGTCATATTTGTTTGTAATGGTTGTTAAATTTATCGGCATGTATTATGCATATTCTAATTTTCGTTAAAAAAATATTATATTGTAAAAAGATTGATAACGTTTGATCTTTATTTATATAAATTAAAATATTTAATCTTAAATTAAGTAGCCACCCAAACATTTAATATTAAATTAAACACTTAGCTATTATTCCATATACGTTGAACTTAGATCTGCTCAAAACTGAAAGCAACATTTTGACTCATTGATGACAAAGCACTTTTCATTTCTTTATTGTTTTTTGCATTTTTTATGGCTATTCTTGGTCGTTTAACTTTTTCCCAAAGCATATGTTACCAAACTTTAGTTCTCTCGAATGAATAGCATCCCAAGACCCATATTCTACTTTGGAATCATTGACCATCAAGAATGCAGTGATTTTTATTGCCTAGGTGTGGGTGCTTAGTCAGATTGGTCCATTTTTGTCTGTAGATAAATTTAATATGTTAAAATATTATATTGTAATATGATATAAAAATAATAAGAAAAATATATAAAAATAATACAATTTCAAGTTTTTAAAAAATTATATATGAATTTGTTAAAAATAAAAAAATAATTTATTTTTAATATATCAATATAAATTATGATACATTAATTTTTATATTTTATTATCTGCTAAATACAAAATAAACATATATAGATACATAAATTATGATTCTATGATAAAACTCTTTTTTTTTCTTTTGAAAAAAAGTCAGTGGATGGTTAGTGGAGCATCATTAAAGGTTGGGATCATCTTTCTAAAGTGCCAATCATGAAGTTGGCACATAATTTGCTCATTTCTTCAAGTATGTGCTAAGATCACATTTTTTATTTTTAAGCTAGAAAAATTTTATTAATGAAGTTCAATTACAAATTTCCCAAGGAAGAGCCAATGGAAGCTCATCAAATACCAATTTGAGCCCCACACCTCATATTCTGTGCTAGTGCCCTAACATTAACCTCTGGTACTAAGATCACATTAAGCTATTGGTTTTGGCCTTCGGGACCTTATTGGATTAAAATAAAAAATGCAAATTCTTATTAAAAGTAGTCTTTTCATTATTTTTAGATACCAAATGAATTTTACAGTAAGTAAATAATAATAATAATAATAATAATAATAAAAGAAAATTCAGAAAACAGTAATCTACCATTGCACGCTTCCATAATTGGTGGATAACGGTTTTACTTCAGTGCTACTGTAGCATTACACTTCAAAACCAAAGATCAAACAAATGTTGGCAAAACTACTACCAGCAAACAGCTACAATTAGGGCTAAATTCAATTCCAAAAAAGAAAGATTCCTCCAATTGGCCATTAGTCTCTGGTTAAGCTTTTTTGTAAGGGGAAAACATTAACTTTATAGCATATATAGAGCCTCCTCACAAATAGCCGAAACATGCGTAGGATCTAATGAGTTACTTTTTTCGCACTATGATTTCTGCTTGACTGTTAGTTGTCTAGGAAGAAAATGCAGCCTTAAAAAATTCCAACCACCCAAATGCTCCAAAAGAGATGTCCACTCTTTCTTTTCATTTAAACGTCATGAAGCAAATCAATATCAAACTTTGCAGCACAAGTAGAACATGAAAGTTTAGATCTACCGACATGACCATTCCTGCGTAGAAGGAAATGGATACATGCAAGCAGACATACGGTCACAAGCAAAGCACACCAAATTATATGCGCCAAAGGGCAAAGGCAGATTCAAGATTTTTTTCCCCGTCCACTTGTAATTATATTAAAAAAAATAACAGATTTACTAATTTTTCTTCAAATTTTCTTAATTTTCAATTTACCTCAAAAAGTGGATCCCCCTGCCAAATGGTTACCTAAACTTCAATTATCCATGACAGATCTGAGGTCCTTTTCACAGGCATGATATGTAACTATCAAGCATAAATCTTATCAAGGAATAAGCATGCGAGACAACTGCTTCTCAGGCATTTTTCATGCAAAAATATTGGCAGAGCTGAATCAGAAAAGGGATCACAACCATTGGAGATTGCTATCCACTGTCCGACATAGGCACATCAACAGCAGTGATCATGATATACCTTAGAAAATGAGGATGGTTTTGACATAGCTAACGAGTGGATGACATGATAACGAGAAATGTTGCTACAATCCATCCATCTAAGGACCATCCTCAATGGTTGCAGGTGCTTCACAATTCACATCATTTGCTCAGGCATGCCTACAATGAAGCCCATACCTGTCACAACAGACTGGGGAGACACAGGAACCAGTTGCAGGAAGATTTTACCATGTATTAAATTGGTGCTATTTCGGCCAAGATATTCTATGCAAGACAAAATACCTTCTTCGAAAACATGGCTGAATTTATATAAATGAGACAAATCCGAAGAAAACCCAGACAAACCTAACACCTCTGTAATCTGATAAACAGTTTTGTTCATAATAAAACATTCCAATCCAACTACTTTGAAGATCCAAACAAATTGCTATAAGAAATCCAGTTGGGCAAAGTTAGAAGGATTAATGATGGGCGCTACAACAGAAATACAATTCAATATATTGAGACCATCTCCAGCATATTTGTAACAAGAAGTAATTTTGGAGGTAAGCTTCGGAGAAGACATCTATATTTTGAAGAAAAAAGATATAAAAGGCAGCTGGAGAAGCATGGTACCGCAATTCGAATATTCCTGACAACAGATTATTCACAATAATTTTGATTAAAGAATGTCACACTGGGACAATCTTTCAAATTGACTTCCTGATGCCTTAAAAAAGTAATAATAAAATCACTTAAGGCTCTAGAAAAAGGGAACAAAGAAATGGAGGGGTTAAACTTTAAAAAGCACCTGCTTTGATACATATGGAGTTTACAGCTGAGAATCAAGTTGACAAACCAAATAAGACTTTAGCTCTGCTTCGCCTGCATCCACTCTACAAAGTTGTCCAGGATCAATGGCCAAGCGAGGTCTGGATTATAATTACTATGGTCTGGGAAACTTATCTGTTAAAATATCAAAGAAGGGAAACAGGTAAGTGCTTGATGAATTATCAACATAAGGTGGAATGCAAACAAGACCAATGGCTGATAATTAGGTTATTATGCCAAATAATGTGCAAGATTCAAGTAGCAATAAAGTGTACAAGATGCACGAGAATTTTTCATTAGAACTACAAGATTATATCCTTTTCATTTCTTGTCCTTATCTGTTCTGATGATATATATAAATAAATAAATAATCACTGTATTATCCAAATTGACAATTGAATTGTACTTTGCAATGACCCATAATTTGTTGTATAGAACTGCAAAGATCAACAGTTACGATGGTGGTGGAGGCAGAGCCTCACCTTCTGTTTTCCTATTATTTATATTGTCCTCATTTTTATGCCAAACAAAGTCCTTCTCTGTGTCGTCAACTTTTCATTCCATATTTGCAAGAACATGAAATTTTAACTACTAAAGAAAAAAGTAAGCCAAGATTAGAAATCACTTCCAGCCCAAAAATATACGTACTTTTATCAATGAAAAATAATTGCACAAAATTATAAAAAAAAAAAAAAAAAGAAAAGAGACCAATAAAAGTCTCATAATAAAGAAGCCAATAACAACCACAACATGCAGGAAGTGAGGGCACTCCTTCAGTCTTCCCTCTAATCTTAGTCTACAAATATGCCATGGGGATTCTACCACACGCTACCAATTACTATTATATCTTCACCTATGGAAGCAGTGAGAATGGCATCAAATTCTCGGCTAACCCTTGACCACGAACTATGTTATTTGAAAGATATAAGTACAATTCTGTAAGTCACTTCAGAATTTTTTAATTTTCATTAAGTGCTGTCTGTGTGAGCATACTTGTGAAATGCAAAGATCTAACAACTGACTGTAATTTTTTATAATGGTGTATCTAAACTTGGGGGCCACAATAGAAAATTCCATAGCAAGGATAAACTTTGATGCACCTCATTGCAGAATCGGAAAAAGCCCATCCATTGATCCATGTTTATGACCTTATAATCACTCTGAATCTGCATTAACAACACAAGCATAGTGAGGCATATTTTTCTCTTCCTCTTGTTTGAGATTTGGATAGAATGGTAGTTTAGAAATATTACACAAAATTAGAAATGGGCAACTTCGCTCTGTAATCTAGCCTATCAAGTTGTTATATTCATTTATAAAACCTTTTGAGTTAAAAGATTAAACATTTAAGTCAGGAGAGTAACCCTATTTCTACCAGAAATTTTGAAAAGCACATTAGTATAGCAATGTGCCTCAATCTGAAAATAGACTACATAGAATTTTTAACATATATATTACAGAATCCTAACAGCTAAAAACTGAAAGAAACTCATTTCCCATAATAACAGATGAAGATGTGCATGTACAAACAATAACATCCAGGAAATCAAGAACATAAAGCATAAATATCTGCAATCTCTGAGATAAAATGTAATAATTGTTGCAACCCACCTTCAAATACTCAACAAAATAGTCAACCTGCGCATGGAATTGGGACCCTAAAACAAGATCCAGCAATTGACATATGCTCTCTATATCTATACTCTTTTGTTTCTCCTCTGCAGAAGTAAATTAGAGAAAGTAAGCAGGAGCTCAATCAGGAAAAAAGATAGAGGTGTTTAGACGTCCAAACTAAATGCCACAGTATTATCACAAAATACCTGTCAGGCAATAGCGGAATGAATAGGAATAGAAATCCACGAAGTTTGATGGTCTCCTGACCTATACGATATGAAAAGAGAATATCAGCACTATTACAGACTTTTCCACCACAATTATCATTCATATGAAACAAATCTATTGAATATGAAATATGCTTTCAGATATCAAGCAGTTCAGAACTTTCTACCTCTTTCTCTAGCTCTGGGAGTGCCTTCCTTAATTTACTTACAGTGTCAGCCCTTAGTGCTTTTAATCCTCTTCGCCATTCCTCCTATAAAGATAAGATTCAAATGTCATTTTCAACTGATAATTTAACTACAAACATGTACAAAAATATACAAATACATATACAAATATATAATAAGAGAGAGCTTGGGATTTGAGGAACCAGTAAATTGTGGTCATGGCCACATTTTGGTATGTCACATTTATTGCAGCTGCGGATCTAACGGATAAAATAGCATTAGTTGCGCTCATTATGCTTGTGAATTTTTTTCTATTTTACACAACTTATCATAAATGAACTAAAAATTATTATAGTCATAATAACATTTATTTATGATATTTAAAGTAATTTATGACATTTTAATTCTTTCATTTATATGTTAAAATAAAATTTTTAGTTACAAATCATAAATTAATAACTATATCTAACATATTCATTAATATATTATTGAATTTATGGACATGAATGTTATTATACATATTTAAGCTTATTAGCAAGAACGATGATGAACATTAAATTTTCTTTCATAAGATATGATTATCAGGGTAAGGGATTAAAATATAATTCTTTGAACATAGGTACTTGTATTTTACCATTAAATCAAATACACAAGTGCAACATTTTAAATAATTAATTAACAAAAATAATGTAATAATTAGCAACATAACCATAACCAAACTTACAAAAAACCATAGCCTTAATAATATCAAAATTATATAATAAAATTAATTCTTTTGAATTAAATGATTGTACATGTATTAAATTATAAAAAATTAAATTAACTAAGTAAAAGCTAATATCCCTCTTCAAATTTCCCCAATATTCATTTCCCCTCCATATTTACTTTTCTCTCCAATCATTTCACCTAAACCCAAAAATAATATCAATTTTAGTCTTTAAAACCACGTGACATCGGTATCAGCCTTCAATTTGTAAACCAAATTCTCAGTAAATTCCAAACCCATTTTCTTCTCTTCTTGCCAATAGTAGAGCATGGTCTTCAGTCTTCCAAATCCCCATCCCATTTTCATCTATTTCTTGTTCCTCCTCTGTCTCTCAAGAGTCAAAATTGGAGAAGACAACACAGAGCACAGCCTAAAGTCAACAGGTGTGGAGGCTAGATGAGAGCTCTTTCTTCAAACCATCCACAACTCAAATTTAAAAAAATGGGTATTTGTTTTTTACCATGAATTAATTTCATTTTTTACTTTGATTGAGGCTTAAATTTGTTGGATTTTGACTTAATTGTTTGAAGTTAGGGTGGGTTTTCTTCTCTGGTTTGGTTTTGTTTAATGTATGATTTGATTTGGAAAATATGGAAAGCGGCTGTAACATCCCGATACAACCGCTATTGGCCGTTATGCCGCTATTTGTGGCCACAAAGCTCTGCTATGAGTGTGAATGCTGTTCACAACCCCATCATGGGTGAATAGAGTGGCAGAGGGTGCCGCTGCCGCTAAATAGCAGCCGCTACACTGCAATGTCACGCTATTTGAAACCCTGGTAGTTACACAGTATAATGCATCAGCCAACCTATATCCATGCTATTATGATACTCTCAATGGGGATCATAGCTGTATTAAGAAGAAGAAACTCCTGTCTGCAAAACACACACAAAAAGGAAAAAAGAAACTACCATCTACAAAAATTATTTTCTTTTAGCAAAAGCTTAATGTATTTTCACAACTCTCAAATATCGTGACTTAATCACAGAGATTGGAAACTGATCAAAATTAGTTCAACTTAAGACCAAAAGAATGACAATTAACGAAACAATAGATAAAAACAGAAATCTAGGCATCCTCAAACAGCCCACATGCTAAAGCCAACCTAAAAGGAAAGATTGGAAACTATTGATTATTCTATATGACTGTGCCTAGACAAAGAAGAAATAGGATTGGAGGGCATGGAACCTAATAGCAATTTTGTTCAACGAAAATATAATAGATAACATTAACAGTTAAAATTATAAAAGTAAATGGAGATGGTACAACAAAAATTCTTACCAGGGTAAAGTATCCTTGTTTTTCAGCTTTCATTTTCCTGACACATCCACATGTAGTTTCAACACAAAGCTTAGGATAAAAGTTAAAAATGAGTGATCGGACGAGTTTATATTACACTTACCAAGCAAGCATCAAGATCCTAACATCTGTGTGATCGACTTCCATATCGGAACATAGAGTTTCAATCCCTTCTGGGCTGTTCAAATAATGTATCATACTATTAAATGCATTTCAAAATAGTCAAGAAGTACATTAGTTTCTATAATGATTATGCTCATTTTTAATGCCCATCACTTTATAAAATATAAAAATTGTAATTCAATTTTCAGCATCCTTATTCTAGCTTTGCAATGAGAGTCTTTCCACAGTATTAAGGATTTAGAGAGTAAAGTTAACTATATTTTAGAGCAAGACCCACCCCTTGAACTTATTCCATTACTATCTGGGTACTTCATATCTATGTTGCTCTAACTCTTCACTTTCCTAATGGGCATAAGTACAGAGTTCCAACCTTCCAAGGGAAAACTTAGAAAAAATGGAACATATCCTTGTTGGAAACATGCCCATATTCAGCACTCACTATTGAACCAAGTAACATGGGGACTTAGCTAGTGCAAAAAACCAGTTAGCTAGAATTGTTAGCTTTTGTAGTAGCTAATCATCCAATCATTCTAGAAACTGATACAAGCAAAAATTAAACTCTAAGTTTCTCTAAGCAGAAAACCAGCACTGTATACAACATAGAAAAAAGTTACCCTTCATCACAACATTTCGTAGAGAAAATAAATCCTATAATCACAGCTTAAATGAAAGTATACTTGATATAATCTAAAGCTTACTTGTTTATGGTGAAACCATCTTTCCTTAATATTGAAACTGTCAAGAATTTTAAACCTTTCCCAAAAATAATTTCGAAATTTATACTTGATATCAGTTACATTGAAAATCAAAGTGGGAAATTTAAGAAACATATAAACTATCACTTATGTGCACATAAAGTCCAATCAAGAACTTATTTTGGGATAGAAGGGATAGACTCAATCAGCGTATCATTTATTAGATATAAAAGATTGAAACTTCAGAGTACATCTGCACTTTCATTCACCATGAGCTCAACCTTTCCTTCCTGATATCATCAGAGAAGTGGCCCAACTCATCTTAATTATATCATTCAGATTGAACTATACTTGTAAAAGTCCACATATTCAAACTGGGCTAGGATCCCTAAAATCTATATGAAAGATAAATGAGCAAAATTTCTTATGGTTTGATCACTAAAAGTTTTACAAAAAAATTAACAAGATGAGATCTGTAAGTATGAGAGTATTGGCTGATAGTTACAGAATTTTATGATGCAAAACTATCTGAAAAATGGTCAGATGCAACATATCAGTAATTATCAAAATCCATATGGTACCAATGAAATTCTACAAAATTACAAAGGTAAACACTACTCAAGGTAAATACCAAAATTACAAAGTCACAAAATTACAATATCACAAATTGAACTGCATATTCCACTAAGCACTTACACAATCATACCAGAAGACCTATTGGCATAAGAATAAAATAGGTTGTCAATCCTTTCCATCTCTTTTGAAGATGCCTTACTTGAAGCTGAGAAATATGAAACTCAAAGTGTCAACTCATTAGTTCACAACCTTAGAACAGATTATCTAATAAACATGAAGAATAATGTCAAAGCATTCTAACTACATACTCTAGAATGAGGTATCAACTTTCATGCAAGGACTAAAAGCTTTATGTCGTCTTTCAAGGTAGGCTTAGGTAAATTCCATGTTGGTGAGACACCAAGTTAAACTATGGTTAATAGCACCTTGAGGACCAATTATTAGGGTTTTCATTATTGGCATCCTGGGTTGGAGCATATGCTTGGCTAACAGATCAGATTTTGGAACACGAAAGTTCATATAGTTCTAAAACGAACCCTTATGACTGAGTTTTCTATTTTTTCTTGTTCTTTGAAATTTTTGAATACATATTTTTTTAACCATATTTTGGCTCCAATCCCATTTGATGTAGGAATTCCACATGTGCTCCTGAACCAGTTCAGATTTCATATAGGTCTGCCTTTATTCCTTGTTTTGGTTGAAACAAAATTGCTCCTACTCCTATGGAGAACCACTAATCCTAATCCTCTGCTCCTTAATCAGAAAATCTGCTAGCCATAAATTGAGATTTGATATGATCTTCTTCTAGACTTATTTGAGCTCTTTTTAACCAATTCTGATTTCTCAGTTTCCCTCCAAGTAAATTTATCACCACTCTTACTTTCTCAGGTTCTCATAGTGGCAATATCACTTCTATTTTCCATACAAAAGGAACCTATTGGTATTTTTTCAACCAAAACTTTTAATTGTTTAGCTCCTACTTGAACCTAGACCAGGGCCTATATTGTAGGACGATCTGAAACCAAAACTGTCCTGTGTCAATTGTCATTAGAGACAATAAACAAATAGCACTATAAAATGTGGTATTAGAGGAAGATTTTCCACTATGTTGACCCGAAACGAGGAGCGTCATAAAGACAGAATTTCTTCTCAATTATGCTCAAGGATTTTGCTTCAAATTTTCAACTTCTCTAACTAAACCACGATTTTTGAATATGTTAAGAGTTAACTACCTTAAAAATGCATTCAAGCTACTACTTAGCCTTAAAATTAACAGGTTGTGTTCTCTTCAAAGTTCAAACAAGAGATTTCTTCTTCCCGTATTGTATCTAAAGATTTTTCTCCTTCATTTTCCAATTCTTTTCACATTTTTCCTATAATTAATTTCACAACAAAACCTCAATCCTTTTACCCGCTTAACTTTTCTTGATGGCTTATCGTTATCCACTAAATCCACCAAAAATACACAATCTTGAATTATGAACACGAATTATGCAAAATATGATCACTTTAAAAGAAAAAAATCAAACAAAGAATTAAAACAATAAAAAAAAATAACTTTAACAATCTAACAAACATCTAAATTCTGAAACAACAAAAACAAAGAGCAATTCAAATTCAGAAAAAAAAAGAACCAAAAGCCGATTCTAACAAATTTCGGAAAAAAAAAAAAGAAAATGAGGGAAGTACCGGTGCGAAAGAGATCGGAGGGAGAATAATTAATCGGATTGGTTGAATTCGGTTGACCCGTTTTCTTGGATGCAGAGCGACGCATCATAAACAAAACCAATCGAAGCTTCTTCACTCAACAAAAAAAAAAAAAAAAAAAAAAACAAATCAAAACAAAAAGTTTAATAATGTGGCTACCGCCAATTTGCCTTTATTATTATTAGGCTTTTTGGTCCACCTCTTCCATCCTATTTATAGACCTAGCAATAAAATATTTATTTACCAGTAATTATTTTTGAATAATGTTCTTTTAAAAAAAATAGAGTTTTCATTGGTTGATTTGGTTTGTTTTTCTAAGGTTTGAAGCTACTCTGTTAAATGAAATGAAATCTAATACTAAGACGGCCTTAATTACTAATTTTTTTCAAAGGAAATTACTTTTGAGGTTGTTGTCATTTGTTACCTTTTGCGTTTACCTTTTGGGTGACGAGTGACGACTGTCGTTTTCTTCTTTTTCTTTCCAGGTTCTTACTTTTGACTCCTTTTTAAGTACTAATTCAAATTATGGGATTGAGTTAGTGTCTGTTTATATTTCATCGCATCTTTAGCATAACGTGATTAAATTTATTATATTAGCAATTAAATTTAAATATTAATTTTAATAAAAATAAATTAATATAAATTTTTATTAAATTTTTTAAAATTATAGTTATAATAATTTTTTAATTATATTTTTAATTTTTAATTTTATTATAATATAGAATTTTAATTTCATATTTAAATATTTTTTAATATGATATATTTACTTGCATAATATAATATTTATATTACTCTTTCTATTCTATAATATTAATCTTTCATTAATTTTTATAAAGTTTAAAGAAAATTTTTTGACTTTGATCTATATAATATAAAATTTATTTTCTTATAAATTTGAAATTTCATAATTTTTAATTACAAAAAGTAAAAAATTCATGAAAATAATTTTAAAATATGAAAAATAAAATATGTAAGTGTTAAAAAAATGAACATAATTTTGAGAAATAAAAAAAAAAAAAGTAAACAAACAAATGTGATGGAGAGAAATTTTTTTTATTTATTAATTCAGTGCTTAAAAGATAAATGATACAATTAACATCCAATTAAATAATAGCACCTATCATTATTAATGGTCACATCACTAATAAAAATCATCTCAATTTGCTTAGGCGCACACGTGATTTTTCACGTGTGGTAATTATTTTAATATGTAAAAAATTTTTAAAAATAAAATTTATCTTTTAGAATAAAAAAGTTTAATTTTTTATAGAATTTTCGATGTTAATATTCAAGAACCGAACCAACTGAAATATCTAAAAAATATTAATATTAATATTTTAATTAATTGCATTTTTTAATTATATAATTTTTCTTTGACTTTTTCTCTTTCGGTCTTCAACCCTCCCCTCGTGCTTTATCTCCCTCAAACCCTCACGCTCGCCATTGCGCCAGTCGATCTAGACACCATACGTCTCAATCAATGACCAACGACAACCACCTATACTAGATCTCACCTTTATTTCTACTCTATCCTTTCACCTCTCACCGTCGACAAAAAGGATATTAATCTTCATTTGCTTTTTGTTTCATCTCCAGCAAACAATAATCACTTCGAACTTTTTTTTGCAACTCAAGTCAATTGTTCATCATTAAGGGAAGATCCTTTCATTTTTGGGATTTCTAATTATTTTCAGCCATTTTCCCTTTTCTATTATTTTGGGATTTTAAATTATTTTTAGGCATTTCTCCCTTTTTTTAAAATGCTTAATTTGCTTAGTGACAATAAGTTTAGTGGGACATTGCATATTGAGAAATCCTGGATTAATTAATAGCTTTTTAGGCAATCCTGGTTTGTGTGTTGGGAGGGATGAAGCTAAGCATAGAGGTTATGTTTTGCTGCTTAGATCCATTTTTGTTTTAGTTGCTTTAGTGTTTGTTGTTGGTGTGGTTTGGCTTTACTTCAAGCACTAGAGTTATAAGAAAGCAAGGGATAAGTTTAAATGACTTTGATTTCATTTCAAAAGATGGGTTTTAGTGAGTATGAGATATTGGATTGTTTTGCTGAAGATAACGTGATAGGGAGAGGAACTTCAGGGAAAGTTTAAAACCGACTAAACCAATGAAACTGAACCAAATCGATTGGATTAAGTCCGTTTGGTTTTCTCGATTTTATCTTATATTTCGATCAGTTAAGTTTTAGTCTAAGATTAAGTCAATTAAATCGATTTTGCGGTTTTTATAACCAAATTAATCGAACCGACTATTTTCTTAGCCTGCTTGTGAAATTAAAAAGTTATATTAACAATATATTTAATAATTTCTTTTTCTATGGTAGAAAGTCATAAAAAACTATTAAAACATTCATTAATAGTCTTTTAAATCTTAAGCTTAATACATGAGGTTAAAATTATTAAACAAAAGAAACAACTTACGCAGTACCTTTGAAACCACCTGACTCATCTATTTGTTAGCAATTTTTTTAGAAGGTTAAATACAAAAATTATTTTTGTATTACATTTTTTGTTAGTTTGATAAAATAAAATTAAACAATTAAGTATCTAAACTTTCATTCTATCACAAATTTTGATATTTCGAACTAAATCTGTTAGTCAAGCTATTTATGTGACATCAATACTCAATAAAATCATGACACATGAAAAAAAGGTCAGATAATCGTTACATCCTCGTTATCACGTCAACTTTAGAAGAAAAAATTTTAAAAATTTTAAAAAATATTAATAAATTTAAAAACAAAAAGAAATCTAAAAAAAAATGAAAAAACAAACAATTTTCTAAAAAATTCAAACAAATCTGAAAAATTAAAAATATCCTAAAAATGTTTAAAATTACAAAGAATTTAAAAAAATGAAAAAATTTTAATAAAATTCCAAAAAAATTGAAAAGGAAAAATATGAAAAAATCAAAATCAAAAATAAAAAAATCAAAAACAAAATCTTTAAACTAAAATAATTTTTAAAAAATTCAAAAAAATTAGGAAAAGTTTTTAACAATTCCAAAAAAGTTAAAAATATGAAAATTTTAAAAAAATTTAAACGTTTAGGAAAAAAAAAGAATCATAAAATTTTTAAAAAACAAAAAAAGGGAAAAATGAAAAACAATATGTAGTATTTAAAAAATATTTAAAATATTTAAAAAATTGAAAAATTAAAAAATGCCCTAAAAATTTCAACAAAAAAATAAAAAATTGAAAAATTTTCAAAAATTCAAAATCCGAATAAGAAAATATGAAAATATCAATATATAAAAATGAAAAATAAAGTTTAGCCCTTAGCTTTTTTTTCAAATTTTTAAAATATTTTAAATTTTTATATTTTAAATTCTCTTTTTTTTTTTTGGGAAATTTTCCAATTAAAAATATTTTCCCATTTTTTAAATTTTTTGGGGATTTTTTTAGATTTTTAAAAAAATTCTTGGGATATTTTTTAAGATTTTTCTTGAATTTTTCTTTTTCAGAATAATATTTTTAAGATTTTTAAAGAATTTTCAGTTTTTTTTTCCTTTTTTGAAATCTCTTCTAAAAATTTTAAAATTTTTAGAAATTTTAGGAGTTTTTATGATTATTCATTTTTGGAAATTTTAGGATTTGTTTTCTTGTTTATTAAAAATCTATAATAATTTTTGTTACAAATTTGAGAATTTTTTTTTTACATTTTAGGAATTTTAAAATGTCATATATATATTTTTATGATTTTGTTTTTTTTTTTAATTTTTACTATTTTAAATTTAAAATATTTTGTAGTTTTAGGAATTTGACTTAGAATTTTTTGAATATTAATTTTTTTTCAAATTTTTTCTTTTTTTGAATATTTGGAACTTTAAAAAATTATTGAATTTTTTCAAATTTTCAATATATTTTTTTGGATTTTTGGAAATTGTTTGAATTTTTTATTTTTTGAAAATTATTTAATTTTTAATTTTAATTTTTTTAGGTTTTTAACTACTAGTTTTTTTTTGGATTTTTTAAATTTTTTAAAAAAATTTGTTAGAATTTTTGGATTTTTTTATAATGTTGATGTGAAAATGATGTTGTGGTGATAACTGGACGTTTTTGACATATTTCATAGTTTTAATAGGTATTAATGAGATGCTAGCAACTTAGCTAACCAAAAATATCAAAATGTATGATGGAAGAAAAGTTAGGATACTAATTATAAATTTTATTTCTTGAACATGATTTTTTTTTCATATAGACAACCTTGATATAAACCTTAATTTGTTGTTGTAAGAGGTAGATCACAAAAAACATAAATGCAAATAATAAGAAATTATGAGGTTAAAGTAGATGAAACAAAATTGTTTTTGATAAAGATGAGTTGCTTAAAAGGATTCAAAATTATAATGTAACATAATTCTTTTTTTTTTTTTTTTGCCTTCCATACAATCACAAAAGTTATAGGATATAAAATTTAATTTGTGGTTATTATATGTACCTAACTGACAGAAGGTGTATAATATAAATTTTTTTTTGTATTTAACCCTTTTTAAATTAAAAATAATATTATAATCTTTGAACTATAATAAAATATTCAATATAATACAAATAATTTTTTAATGAAATATTTAATATGTTACAAAAAATTTAAGAATCTCTAACATAATAACTAACTATTAATCTATTAACTAACGTAACCCTTAAAAAAAAATTGTCCATCACATATCATTATTTAAAATTAATAGCATTAAAAGTAAATATCATACTAATTAATAAATTTATAATTCAAATACTATATTAAAATTTTTTAAATTTAAGTATCAAATTAAATATTTTACATTATCAGTAACATTAACCCTTAAATTATAAATCCGATTTGTTGGGTGATGCTTTCCCTTTCATCCGACATTCCGCTAGGTTACTGCTCTAGCTGGATTTATTTCTATTCATTTGGTGGAACACACTTAAAACAATTACAAAGATGAAGTTTACCATGATCTGCTCAACTTTTACAACGTGCAGGAAAGCCATAACCACATTCCAACATAAAAAGCTAGACAAACTAAATTGCCACTCCTGAAATGTAACTACATCCTGCAAATAATTTGAATGCAGGTCTTCGGGTATAGGAATGTTGAAGAAAACGATATCAAAGCATCTTAATTGGGCATCATGCTTTGGGCCTTCATTAATATCAGAAAGCAGCAAATCACAAATCTCTTTCGCCATCTTTGAATAAGCCATCCTGCACCATAGTTTCATAAAAAAATATCAACCACTACAAACCGGAGACCGCTAAGAAAATGTGAAGGATAAAAAAAACCACAAAAGAAAGGTCACAAGCCCAAAACTTGTAGCCCCCCTTCCCTTTCTTCCTTTTCTTATTCTCTCTTTTCTTTGTATTTAGAAAGCTTTTTCGTGATGATCCAATAAATGATTCCCAAGTTGGGAATGAACATTACGTGTTAGGTGTCTTAGC